CCCAAAAATCGGGACTGTCCCTATAAAATCGGGACATCTGGTCACCCTACAACAGGCTCACCTATCATCCGGCTGAAAGAGTTAACCTGCCGAGGAACTAGCGGTCCTGCGTGACGATGCATTGCTGCTTCTCTGGCTAGCACACGCTGCCTGCAAAGCGCTCTCCCCAGAGCAGCCTTTCTCCAGTCACTTGTCTGACTTAAGCCTCTGCCAATAACTTTGTTATTAAAAACAACAGCCCCACCGCACCAACAACAGGGTAAACACTGAGCAGAGGCCAGGAAAGCAAAACAAAGTAGCGAAATAATGAACTTGTCTCTCGGCACTTTCTAGTTTCTGTCCAGCTGCAAACGTGAGCCTGTGCTGCCCAATGCGCTCTGGCCAAGCATTGCTTCGGGTTTGCACTTGGACGGAGCAGATCCAGCCCCAGCAGAAAGTACAGCTCCAGAACACACAGCCCCTGCCCCCCTGCAGTGGCAGGACGCGCTGGAGAAGCGCTGGCTTGCACTGACACTTGCCACCCAGTCTAGCCAGCCCCATCGGCACCCCAGAGTAGGGGGATATATCTGGAGAAGGTAAAACCCTTGATTTGGCAGCACTGGAAGCAGCAGCAGCAGCAATAACTTTGAAGTGAGGAGGCAGCAAGTTGTGGCAGCACCGACACACACACACACACACACACGCAGCAGCTGCTCCCGCTCGCACGGCATCGGCTTTCAACTCCCCTCTGCCTCTCGCCCGCGCCCCTGCCTGTGTCTTCGGCGTGTGTGTGTGCGCGGCGCGTGGAGCTGGGGCGAGAGGCACCTGCTTGGCTCGCGCCGCCGCCGCGCCGGCTGCTCAGGCTCCAGCTCCTGCCCCCGGCTGCGGGCTCCAGCCTCCTGCTCGCTGCTGCCGCCGCCGCCGCCGTGTGAGTGAGTTGGGCTGCTCCAGCGGGGCTAACCCCTTCCCCCTGCCTGCGAGTCAGCCTGGCTACGAATCACGTGTCAGCTGCCTGAGGCAGAGACTAGAGAGGAGGGGAGGGGGGGGAAGCGCCTCATTCCTTCTTCCACCGCCATACTGTATTTTATAGTAACTCATTTTTATTCCTCTCTTTTACTCCCGCTCGGTGAGTACCTTTCCGCTGACATTCTTGTCCTCCTTTTTTTGTCCTGTTTTTTTCTTCCTTTTTTATTTTTCTTCTTTTTTTCTTCCTCTTTGATTATTGTTTCAATGGATTTGATCCTTTTTCTGATGACAAGTTTTTTGTTTTTGTTTTTTGTTTTGTTTTTTTCTTCTTCTTAGCATGCGATGGTTACTAAACTGTGAGCAAAAGGTGCTGCTGGGGCTGGGAGTCACTGGGAATTGAGCAATGCAATAAAATTAAGACTTACCAGTCCAGCAACAACATATATAAATTTACTATCTCTAGATCTAGATATGCAACTGGTTTTGTTATGGCACGAGAAAAGAAAGCAATGTGAAATATGCGTTTTTTTTAAAAGATGAGGAAAAAAAGGCATGTTTCTAACTCTTTTGCAGAGGATTTTTCCAGATGTTGTTTTGATGTTTTTTTTTATTTTAATTTTTGGTATATAGAGGTGAATTGCAAATGCATTTTACAGCAGTGTTTACAAAGAGTTTGTGATCTTGCAATACTGGTGCAGGCCACTGAGCAAGATGTTAATTTTATTATTTTTGGTTGTTGTTTCCTTTTTTGACACTCGGTGCAATCAGCAGTTTTTTCTTCTTTTTCTTTGATGCCCGTTTATAACGTGAAACTTTTCTTGCAGCTTGTTAGAGTTGATCATTTTTAAATACTTTTTTCTCCTTAAAAAAAAGCCAAAAAAAAAAAGCCAAAGCAATGATCGTTACTTTTGCACATTTGACTTTTTTATTCTTTTACCGAGATAATTTTATTATGATGATTATCAGGATGATGATGATAGATATGCACATATATACAAATAAATACATTTTAAAATGATGGCAGTGGAAGGTTTTCCTGGAGAATGAAGTGCGGTTTGGTTTCCTTGTCAACGGAAGATGAAGTGAACAACTGAACATCTCCCCAGTGCAGGTACTTCATCTCCTTGTAGGCGTTTCCACTCTTTGTAAATTACGGTACGAGAATAATAATTATTATTAATAATAAAATATCTCAATCCCTAGCTAAATATGTGTCCTCAATGAAATGAAGACGAAACTAAATTATCTGCTCTTGATCGCTCGGATGTGTCCAAAATACTGCGCTAATTGAGCCCAGGTCGGTTAAGATGCGAGTGATAGTTTATGTACAGTACTATCCTAGACATGCGGGTAGCCAGCTGACAAACCTGAATGGAACCGTGAGATGCAAGTTATGAGCAGGGACGCTTCTAGGGCTTAACAATAACGGGACTGGATTGTGAGTAAGAAGGGGGTTGTGTGTGTGTGTTTTAAAAACGCCCATTAGAAAATCTTAGGTGGCTGTGAGAGAAACAGTAGCAGCAATCCCTCAGAGGGTCTGGCTCACTGCCATATGAGCTTGACACATATTCCAGATCCATAAGGATAACAAACCCCCTTATTTCCAATTCCTACTATTCAATTAACAAGGAATAATCAAGGCAGCAAGCAGGTCGTCTCTGTCAGGTTTAGCTCATTGGGATGGCGATTAATTATGAGCAGATGCATATTTTGAGGTGTTTCCTTTTGTTTTGGTGATTATTAATGCTACTGTCTGCCAGGGAATAGGAAACAGTTACTTTCCGTGACGGTCACTGAGAGTTCAAGATTAGGGAAGCAACTGTTACTTTGCTTTAACAGCACCTAAACTGTTCCTGATTTAGAGACAGGATATTGGTGCACTGAAATATGATTTTGAAAGATTTTTCCAACTGGGAGTTTTTCCAGAAAGAGATAGAGCTGAGTATTTTATCAAAGTTGAGGTGTCCAATACTTGGATCTGCAGTGTTCTGTATGGTTTGCTTTACTGTGATGGTGCTGTTTAGTGTATTCTCTATGAAAAGATTTCAGTATTTATAACTTAGGTCATAACAATTTGCTCTGCATTTAAGCATTGTCTTTTAGGGAATCCTTTTTTTCTTTCCAGATGTAAAGAGAAACTTTTTGTCTATTTTTCATTAATGGGAATACAAATGCATTTGGAAGTTAGAAACTTCAGACACATATTTATATTCTTGGAACTCACAAATACTTTGCTCTTTTAAATTGAAAAGTTTTTATCCAAAGTCTGTAATGTGCACTCATTCTGTTGGATATGTTGTGAAACTAAACCCAATAAATTTTAGTTATCTGATGTGGGAAAATAACTATTAGATATGGCTCGTGGGTTTTTACAACAACAATGTGATAAAAACAAACAAACCCTAACACATAGATTTAATTTGCAATTGGGCCAATGATCCATCTTACAAAAAGTCACTATCTAGATATTTACATGATAGATTATAATACTTTCTTTGGAGTAGTTACAATCTACTAGGTCAATAATCCACATTTTAAGAAGTCCCAGATCTCTGCTTTTATTTATTCTTGGAAGGATTAGATTTTTATCAGTAACTGTTGGTAAATGTCTGTTTCAACATACACACAAAAAGATGAAAAAATATTTCCATTGATGATAATCAAAATCTGCGGATATATAATGTAAGAAAAATACTGCTTGAGAAATTTGATTTAAGGATATTCACTTTGTATATTTTGAAATGTGATTTTGACAATTTGTGTTTGAATAGTTATAAAGCTTTAACTTTACTGTCATTAAATAATTATTGCCTGAGCTCTCCATTGTTTGGCCCTCCCATAATTTCCTGCAACTGTAAAAAATTAATCAATAAAAATTTAAAAATTCTAAAAGTAAATAATGATATTATTTATTGGAGTTATATTAAAATTGAATTCTGCTAAGCCTATTTATATTTTCATAATTCAGATTTAAAAAAATGCATGACTCGAAATAGTGATCAGCATGCTATGCACTACTTTCCCGCATAGTTTTAAATTATATTTTTTTCAGTTTTTCATAAAGTTGAGAGGAGTGGACAATAAACCCAGAATTTTTAGTATTGGTAAGGTGTTTAAACAAATAAATCAGGCAAGTAATTTATGGACCAACATTTGTTTGGCCCATAACTGTTTTTCTGCGCAGGTGTGAGATATCAGTAATTTGTACAGAGAGTTGCTGACTATGAGTAAAATCCTGGTCACTTAATCCTTCCTTGAAATCCATGATAAAAAGTTTTACAAGTGCACTATTATGGACACCCAAGTGGAGTGTACAAAATACCCATTGCATGTGCACAACTCAGGAACTGATGTGCACACATACCTTTCGTGTGCACAAGTTGAGGTTGTATTGAATATTTTGCATGAACAACTTGTGTATGCACAAAACAGCATATGCACTTTTAATAACAGGGGCCAAGGAGCTTACTTTTGTAAGTAGAACAGTGTTTGGCTCTGTATATGCTGCAACATATATGCACAGTACAACTTAATTGTGAATGCTGTATCAGGCTCAACTTGAAATGTCCATGCTTCTGATGCTTTATGTCATAGTTTAATGTTATTGAAAACAGGACTTTGTGTGTTAATTTGCATTCACATTTGGAAAGCCACCAATATAAATACTGTACAAGACTAGTAATTGTTCAGTTATTTTCAAGATATCAAATTTTATAAATGATAAACTAGAAAAAATTAAAAATGGACATCTCATTAACTGTGTTATTACCTTTGCCATAATATTTGCTGCATTCCCTATGTTTATACTGGGAAATACTGCTACTACTTTAGTAATTTTAACTTCTGCAAGTGGTACATGTCCAGGCTTGAATATTATCTACTTTATATTTTAAATCTCTCTTCTGATATTTAAAGGGAGGTGGGAGAGTTAACTGCCCTTACAGAAATTTGTAAACTGAAAACATTGGAAAGCAATTGTTGTTTTGTTTTTCACCCAAATAATAATTTTTCAGTACCTACTGAATGAAAATCTGACTAGTGAACAGCCTGACTTTACAGGGTTCTGGCTGCCCTCAACATCAGATGAGCATTGAGTTAGAAATAAGCAATACTCAGGATATTAGCCATTCCAGCGCTGGATGATAGAAGCAAATAATGGATGATAGAAGCAAATAATCCTTTCCCCATATCCCAACACTGGGGAAATTTTTTCACACAACTCGTTAATTTCCAGTATATAGGAGTTTCCATTCTCCCTTTTTTTCTATTCATACCACCAAGGCCCTTTGGATAATGAAGTGACCAGTATGCATTACCATAATAGCCTCCTTCTGTTTAGCATGAAAATGAAAGTTACTTTTTAAAACAATGTTTCTAATTACAGTTTCTTCTCAAGGTACTTATTTCCTAGATTCTGTTCTTAGTCATTGTCCTAAAAAGCAGTACTTCCTATCAGCCATTAACAGGCTAGTTCTGTCTTATAGCAAATTTTCTCCCATTTAACTCAGGCCAACCATCAAAAAGTTCACAAGATAAACAACATAACACTATGTAAAAACTTTGCAAGATATCTAAGGGCTTGATTCTGCCCTCATATATGCATGTATAATTCCCATTGACTTCATTGGCACTCACACTGTCCAAGGACATAGATGAGTCCTTCTTATTTTTAATTACAGTTTGATTTTTTGAACCCAGATTGAAAGTGCCCTGTTTGCTAATGAAAAACAGTCATCTGTGTCTCTGTGAATGTGGGTACCCAATGGAATAGATTGTAACCCAGTGGATAGCCTTCTTCAACATAGGTCTATCATAAGAAAACAAAATAATATCTAAATAAATGGACATAAACATTATGACATCAATTTGTTTATCTGCTGAAATTATTTTATGATTTTTGAACAATCACTCTATTTAGCTAGTTTCCAAATTATTCTTTTAGGCTCCAACAATGTAGGTGACATAAATAGCATGCCTTTCCAAGCAATGTCCAGAGTCAGATTCAGAAATACCAACTATAACCCTTAAAAATACTTTTCAGAACGTATTCATGGGGGCAAGAATAAACTTTTCAGAACGTATTCATGGGGGAGAAATAAACAATTCATGTTTATTTCTCTACCAACTTCCTTGTTGATGAGGCAGAGCAACATAGGCTCAGTTTTCCTTTAAGAAAATCCAACCCTGCAGAACTGAGCATGAAAAGACTTATGGCACAAGTAGCATTCACAACAGGAACATATTAAAGTCAGTGAGAATCTGAAAAAGAGCACAAATAGATGAGAAAGAAAGGGAAGGAGCGAGGATGTTGAATAGTGAAAAAAAGCGAGGAAAGTTTGGAGAGAGATATTTTATAGACCATAACTTTTTGGTTATGGTCTATAAAATATAAAATAAATATAAAAACTCAATAGCGTGTGTAAGAGATATCTTAAATAAAGGATGACCATGCCTTTTTATTGCTTAGTATATCTGTAAACAACTAATTATTCAGAACACTATCCCTAATCCTGCAAACACACTGGAAGTAATATTACAGGGATGAGTAGTCAATTGCACTACTTGTGTGCATGAAGTTATTCACATGTGTGAATGTTTGTAAGATTAGGATCCAGAAAAAAAGAACACTGCACGTTAGAGGTGATTCAAAACTCAGCATTATAATATGAGAAGTTAGACAGCTGTATAGATTTGTTTGGTCACAGATATAGACTCAAAGTATTGTTGCTCAATTTGTGGTTTTTGCTTTGTTTAGATTTTTGCTTTGAGTGACCACTGATGCTACTTGTTCCTTTGCTGAAAACTGCATACATTCAGTTATTTTTCAACTGATATGCTGTGTAGTAACATTTAAAGAAATCTCATTATTTGTTAGTTTAAAAAAAGGTCGAGGTAGTATTTCAAACTCCTCCACCTCTTTGTTGATCTTTCTTATGCAGCTGAATAGATTGCATCATTTTAACTCATGATTATTTTCTTGTCATTTAGAAATGTAGTTTTAATTTCAATATTTAATTTAATCTTTTAGAAGCACTTGGACTTTGATTTTGGATCACTTTTCTGGGAAGCATTATTTTTGCACAATTGAGTGTGATTTTCTGACTCGATGAG